GAAGGCAAAGAGGTGTATCCATCATTTGCGTGTTGTGTTACGAAAGGTTTTTTAGATGTAATGTTAAATTAAAATTTAGCAAAATTAGCTTGTGCATGTGGGATACGATGTAATAAAACAAAAAGCGAAGTTTATTATAGTTAATTTGTTATAATAGAGCAAAAATAAATGAAATAAGTTCAAATATTCGAAATGTAGAAGAATTTAAGGTAACAATAACGAGGAGAGACGAAGGAAAATTTGATCTGGGAATCTTTTTATGACTTCTCATTTGATTCACATAGGGAGACATTTTACATGATAGTTGAGATTGTTTACATATAGGAATAGTTACAACAAGAGTATACCAACAATCTTTACATATATGAGGAAAAAATTACTTATATGAAGAGTGTTTACAATCTTACAAATCGATATCTTCGTATTCCATTAAAATTGTTAGCGTTTTGCATGGTTGTTAATGCGAAAAAATTGAACAAATGTCAATATTGGCACTGCTCCTTGCTAAAAATGTGCCATAAATAATGAAATGTACTAAACTACATAGTAGACTCGACTTGAATTCTTTCGCTAAGTGATACGATGCTTACAACCTTGCAGAATGTATACGATCTCATCTTGATAATAGCAAATAAGAACTTTTATTTACGGAGACTATGGGCTAGATTAGAAAGGATATTATTGCCGATGTGACCATCAAGATTAGATTCATTCATAGTATGAGTCTTTTAGATTGTGAGTGCTCATACAGGGCAAGTGATACGGTTGAAATAGTAAACCATCGGGTCGTCTTTGTCATCTCAGCCTTGACATGGTACGTCATATCTTGTCCGGAATTCTGGACGAAGCCATCTTATGTAGATTATTCCGAGAACAAATTGAAACAACTGCATGTTACATGACAAAGATACTGCCGGCACGATGCCTGCAGGAATTGTTAGGTATAAATCCAGTAAGAAGAGAAAAAAACAAATAGAATAAGGAGAACAAGTCTTCTGTTTCATCGAGGTAAATTGTCAGGAACATTAAAATGTAGTCTGTTCACTTTTCTGGACTTTTCAGGTCTAGATGAGTAAATTAATAGCTAGAGTTCTGCTTTTTAAGTTGTTCATACACTTTGGAAAGTTACCGCATCGAAGGAGCTAATCATGGTTGGAATATGCATGGTCGTCGACGACAAGAAGAAAATTGTGATAGAGCCCGTAACAGTTTGACAGTTTGAAATAATCGATGGCATATTTACAGTATGGAATTTCCTGTAAGAGTAATTGCAACCTGGGCGGTAAATGTACAACTCGATGTTGAAGGTATTTACAGAGAGGTAACTCAAAAACCACAAGGTTTTACAGCGAAAAATAACATCAATTAGAGAATCCGTTTTAGCACTTTGGAAACTTCAATATTCAGGCGGCATGCTTGCGCACGAGAGAAGAGAGTGCTATTATTGTGGAAAGCTTCCGAATCAACGTGTATGTCGCATAAACGGGCAATGCGATGTGTTACAGGTGACAGTAATGGAACGTTGATACGAATCGTTGAATGCTGTGATGGATATCACACATCAGATATCAAGAAAGGATGTACTCCATGTGTGTTGGTTTTCTTGTTTTTCTGTTTATTTTCCAGTCCAGAATATTTCGGTAGTATGGAATTTAACTCTGACATATCTCATCTATCAAGCAGCAAATTTATTTATTGCTAATTTATTTCCTTGATTTATTGCTAGTTTGTTTATTGCTAGTTAAATTTACTTGATCGTAATGTCACACATTTTATTGAATGAAGTTGAGGTATCCATTAACTGTATCATCCTATCATATTCTTACGACAGTTTTTCAGACGATGCGCCAGAGACTTTGAATGAATTGTTGTACGGGAAGAATGTCTGTATAGAAACACTGGAACCAAGCGATACCAAATTTACAACCTTACTAGTGTTACAGTATATATAAAGACAATGAATCCTGTTCAGCGGTATAAATTTGCTAATACTAGAAATTCCATCCTTCTCTTAACTTTCTTTACCTCTTATCCTTGATTAATTTGAAATTATAATTGCCTGAAGATTTGTTCTTGTTAAATTCCAAGGCTTGAAAAAAATTCATAATTTCGGGAGGAAATTTGGAAATTTAAAAAATCGTGAAGCCTTTTCATTTTCCTTTGCCGTTCTCTGTCTAGACAGTTCCCAAAGGCCAGTATGTAAAGAGAAGGTACTCTTTATTATTTTCCTTAAAACTTTTATGGTCCTTTTAACTTTTTTTTATCTTTTCATCTCAGCTTTTAAGCATTTACTCCAGTAAAACTTTCAGTCATACCAATACTTATGTATTATTATCATAAATAAATTTGGCAGCTTTTGAAGGTTTCTGAATATCTGCTATTTCGCCTCAAGTATTGATTTTATAGAACGATACAACAGGAATTGGAACGAGTACATCCTAGAACAACCATATCATACCTATGAAATGTTGAACTCTCAAAAATTGCCTACACGTAAACCAGGAGCATTCATTATTATATCAAGAAATCCCGAACGAACAGGTTTAGATAATAAAGTAAGTGATTTTTTAGCATGTGTGACAAAGTAAGTAACTTGCTTTCTTAAGTAAATAATTTTTTCTGCCAAACTTCTACCAAATTTAATTTGTCAATTTAAGCGGCTAGAAAAAGGTTATCTTCACTGCATTCATCCTATTCACCTATTTGTTTTACTTCATCTTGTTTAGTTCAAGATTAAATTTGAATTTAACTCTAGAAATATTGTCTTTGTCTTTGTATAAATAGTTTTTATGAAAGTCATGCATATACAACCAGGAATCGAAAAATTCAGAGTGCTGGCAACAACTTGTTATAGTATTCCAGCTTCTTTATCCTTTTTCAATCAGAATCAATTTCCCGAATTTCAGCCTCTTCTTAACTGTATCGAAATAGTAGATGAAGATCTGGAATGTAGAAATGGTACAGTGCAACTGCTAAGCGCACCGTTACCTAAGACGACAATGCAAACACTTCTTGACATTATCACAAATGATCCAAATTTTTCTGTTTTTAGTGCTTGTAAGTTTCTGAATTGTTTGGTGAATTCTTATTGAAGCAATCCAATTTCACTATTTTCTTTTAAAGTTTCTTTAATTTTTGCTTAGAAAAGCAAAAAGTGAATGAAGCAAAATTGAGAAATCAAATTTAAGGAATCCTTTTTAGTGTTAACTGATGATCTTCAAGGACGTCTTGCATCAAACAGCCTCATTTCTACTGTATTTGTTTTTAGCAACGAAACATTTACGGCACTATCATCATCAAACACGTATGCATCAAAGGAAAGGATGCGCGAGAGGTGAAACATAAGTCTCAAACTAAATTTGAAGTTAATATTTAGATATTTTTATAGAATTGATCAAGGAACATATATACGATGGCATGTTATGTTCACTATTCAAGGAAAATCATATAACATCAATTACTGGTATCAAGCATCGCTTTTATAAACAGGTTGAAATTTTATTTTCATTTGAATCATCTGCCAAATGGCTGCAAAATTATGTTTGTATATGCGACAATGTCTCAAACCTTCGGAAAAATAATTTAAATTAGACCATTGTTCAGAAATTTTGGTTAGAAATGCAGTAATCAAATACCGCAAACTGAGGATTAGTATAACTGATATTCAGAGAGACGGAAATAACACGGAATGGATTCGTCTGGATAATGGTCGGATTTTGAATACTGATCGAGTGGCTTCAAATGGCGTCATCCATGTCATTGACGACATAATACTTCGAGAACAATGTAAATTTGGGCTTAACTTCTCGTTTTTAATTTTAAAACGGCTCTAATGAAGATCTCAAGATTGGATCATCCATTTTATGGAAGATAAACTGAAGTTGTTGTTATATATTCAGCAACTATTGCATATTTGAGGTTGTGCCGAGAGTTTACTGGAACAAATGATAGACAAATGAGCCTGCCGATAGTGAAGAAGATAGTTAATTCCCACATGTTTCTCTTTTGAAGTTTACAGCTGCAACAGATTGGCGTGATCACTTAGAGCTTCCCAGTCGAGAATTCCTGGAAATCCTTGAGCGCAATATTGGTTATGAATATGAGCCAGTGGCTATATTTGTACCACCTGATGATTCTTTCCGAGTATGCAATCTTTTTGCACCATTACTTAATTGAATCAAAGAAGTTACATTAAGTTTGCTCCAATTCACTGCAGTTACTTGACAAATACTTTTTTCTTATTTGAGTATAAAGCGTCATTCTTTATTGTAAACAAAAGAAAGATTATATCAGGGTCCTTACACCGTTCCATTCTTCCATTCAGAACTGTAAATGCTTCACGAACCTCCCTATTTTGTTCCTCATAATTTCAGAATATGACAGATGAGAAATCATTTGTCATGAATCATATTGCCATAAACGACTCACACATCACAAATAAACTGATCGAAACAGCATATGGTTCAAAGGTTAATTAATTTACCAATAGTTAGCCACTTGCAATCACAAATTAGTGTTTTTTTTCTTTTTTTTGCTTTTGGATTAATATATAGTGTTTCGAAAGTTCCTACCGGTATAAAACTAAACTGGCTAGTGAGGATTTCTCGACCTTATAGATGTCTTTTTGAGAATTCAGATTCCCTCATCGGTGAATTCTCCGAGGCCGGTCTTCGGATGCGCAAAAGCAATAAAGCCATCTACGAAGTACTGCAACACGACCATTTATTCCATTGATGCTGTATGTGCTTTTAAATTTTTGTGTGCTGATCATAATAATGCTTTAAAAATACTTCAGAATTTCTGCGTTAAGATTCAGGAATTCTTCAAATTATGAACTATAAACAGCGGCAGAAATAATAAGCGCATTCCACATGATTAAACCAGTAGATTCGAAAGTCTACTTAATTCTGCTATTCCAGTCCGAAGTTTTTTATTTGATTCCCTCTGTTAAGGAAGTTGAACTGGTCCCCCTTTCCGCTTATCTTTCTCAGATTTTCGTGTCTTCTTTTCAGTTTTTTCTCGTAGGAATTAGGAAATTTAGTTATATGTATAAATTTTAGCCTTTACCAAAGACTATGCATACACTGGAAGAGTTGATAACTGGCCGACGTGAGTTTTCTGTATTCGCTTCCTTACTCAATGACAGTAATATCAATCTGGAGACCAATCGACTGTACACCGTTTTCCTACCTTCCAATGATGCATTGTCGAATAATCAAGTTCGAGCATTAAAGATGAACAAAATGCTGGTAACTAATTTCGTGGGCAGACATATTTTTGAGGGTAAGCACTACAAGCTTGCATTATATTTCCCAACGATCTTTTATCACATAAATTTCCTCGATTTTTCTCAGTGGTCACTTAATTTACAGGACTGTTGTGTTCGAAGAATCTCCAGGTAAGGACGAGTGAAGGAGAGCTTCCTGTAGTTTTGAAAAATATTAGAGGTGAATATTACGACGGTCGTAGAGTAGGCAAGAAGACAACACTTGGTGATATTGATTTACAGGTCAGTGAACAAAATTTTCATATAACTGGCTACGTATCCTGGACTATTAGTCGAAAAGATCTTTTCACCCTACGTAAGCAATTTTCTAACACAATTATCCTTTAAATTCCTTCGCAGCTCTGTAATATTGCACATTGTAGTATAACCTGACTCTTCAAATCCTTAATTGAAAATTAAACTTGAAAATGCAGGATATGGATATGCTTGCTAGGAACGGTATCTTACACACACTCGAGAGTCCATTGGAAAGTCAAACATCACGCGAACATCAAACACTATGCTCGGTTTTTGATTTCATTTAACTTTCATTTTTTATTATATTCCGGTTCTGATAAATAAAAAAGAAAACAAATGATATCGTGACAGCTTTGCACATGAAAGTGGCGTGATAGCATACAGTAGTGATTTACTTCAATAATCAAATGCTCAAATATGGAAAAAGAAAAAAGCATAGATAAAGTAAGTCAGTTGGAATTTAGCACAATTATGACATGCCTCTAATTAATGCATTGGTCAGTAAAGATGTGATGGAGGCGAGTAAGTCATGCAAGCATCTCGACTATGGAGTTCAACACACATTCAAACGTCAACAAGTAACATTCATACTTCTCCAAATGAATGCTAGCCTAAGCAAGGCTTTCTGACAACTCGTACCTGCATGTTCGCATACGCTTATTCAACTGTTGCAAACTGAAATACAAAACAGTTTACCAGGGCAAGTAATACAACCTGTGGACACCAGGCGTTTCGAAAGAATGACTTATACATGAACAACAGAGCGTCTAGCTAGGCAAGCATTTGTGAGAGAATTACTTTGTGTGGGATCACAGCTTTTCATGTTGGGTACGTTAAATTTAGCTTTACTTTCGAATGGTATGAATGGCGGGAAGGGTAGAGATTATATTTCTTTACGGGAAGGAGGGGAAAGGCTCGTCTTTGAACATTTGTACGTGTTTCAATTTTGACAAGATAGTTACCTATTTGGATATTGTCATTCCATCTTCTGTTACTAAGCTTTAATTGATTGCTAATGACAAATTTCAACTGAACCGCTATAAAGTTGCAGAGAAACGTTTTTTTTCACACCACTGAAAGAAATAGCTATCGAGGGAGATATTGTACGACATTATTACAAGCTATAAGATGGGGCGAGTTCTCCTGAAAAGTAATTGCCAAAGGTGTGTAGATTTCATTTAAAATAGGAGATTAAAAAGTTGGAATTGAAGTTGAAATAAATTTGAAAAGAATGTGCAAATGAATGCGTCTTTTGATATTCTGGAAGTAGTCTGTTCTGTAAATTCAGTGATCCTCCTTCTGTCGTTTCATGATTCTTACGAAAAATTTTCACATTTTTCCTCAAGATTCTGGGAGATATTTTTCCAAAACTCGGCCAATCCTAAAGGAATGGTTAAAGGTTAAAGATTTTATGTTTGACTTTGAGACCTTAAAGATAGAAGGTTTGTATTTGTTTGTCCACAGTAAAGACATATCTGTTTCTACGTCATTTTTTTTTCTTTTATATAAAATCTAACCTTTATTTCTGTTAACAAAACATATAATTGTCAGCATGTCTGTTTATTTCTGTCAAAGAAGCATATAATTGTCAACATAAGAGTCAACAAAAGAGCTATGATAACGGTGACAGTTATACATCCAAATGTACCCTATCCTTTATAGCTAGAATAGTCTTTAGGTGCACATTAAGGAATAGTAGGGAAACTTATCGGCCTTATACCATTCCTCAGTCAATTCCAGCACACATCGGTCTTCAACATTGCGTAAAACAAACGTTGGCGGAGTGTCGAAACAGCTTACAGCTACTGAAAAACGGAAAAGAATGATTGAAGCTGGCACGAAATATGCGTAAGAATAGTATCAGATATTAATTTTGTACTTAACACTTTTAAGTTGGTCATACATATATGCAATTAAGCTCGAACCGTTATCTACATCTCTATATATTAAAGTCATCGGTCGCGTGCATAATAAAATAATAGCAGTAATCACACTTTTATACACTATCAGAAAATTTTAATGCGGAAAATTTAGTTCTACAGGCTAGCAGGCTTTAGCATTAAATTGTTCTGGCGATATCTAAATTTGAGCATTGTTAAAAGTGTTTTATAAAGTATGTTAAACTTTTCAGGGCGCAAAATCGGAAAGTCAAAACAGGTTGTTTGACAGGAGCCCACTTCATGAAACTTAGCGTCAAGGTCAGCATAATTGTGCTACAAGTAATTAGACAAAATATGATATCGGATATAGAAATAATATCTCTATCATGTTCCATTTTTCATTATGTCTCGAGTATTTTGAGAAAGATCGCTCCATATTTAGGATTTTGCAGGCAGTCCCAGAGTCAGCTGTTAAAACTGGATCATGCAGGAAATCCTCAGTGTCTCAGGAAATCCTAAAGCTACAGCATATTCCACCAAGAAGAAACATACAACTAGCTGATAGATTTAACAGCCAGAAATCGATTTCTGAAGCCATTCTTAATGTATTTAATTTAATTTTTCAGCATTTATTATTACCGAGACGTAAAATTCCAAAGAATTTTTGATACTTATCTCTCAAAAAAAACTTGCCAAAATTGAGCATCTTGGTGTCTCTTAGTTATCCAAGCAGCACTTCTCTGTGTTTTATCGTCGTGGTTCGTGAAAAGAATAGTTTTCAGCGTTCAGACGCCAAATGCAAGTCAAAATCACATTTTATAAAGGCGCCTCTGAAACCAATCAATGAAATGTTTGAACGTGATGATGAAGCACTGACAAGTATTTTAAACAGATGTCCACAGAATTCAATTACTGGAAAAGCTTCTATCTTCGTAAGCTGTTTTCAGCCTTCGAGTGTTTCTTTCACCTTATTTAAATCATTTCAGTTCTTGGTCTCGAGAAATTGCTGACGTTTATGTTTTGGTGTTTCATAAAATCAAGTTATTGTCAGTTCTGTTTCTGATCACTTGATCAGAATAGAGGTTTCGGAAATTATTCTTTTAACTCTATTAGGATTTTTTTCATTTCTTGACGTTTTGATCCCATTGATATTTTCCTTATTTAGCGTGGCCGCGAAAGACCATCATTATTTCCGAATGGAATAAATCCTTTGGACACAGCTGCTGAGAAATTTGCTAAACCTTTACCATTGACGGCATTAGCTACCCGCGCGTTTTCTTTGGGACCGGTTACTTCCACGAAAGTTGATACGACATCCGTTTTAGTTACACCATCGTCAGTTGTTAAGATGTCAAAAAAAACACCAGTTGGTTTTCGACGCTTAAAGTTTCCTAAACTTTTCTAGTACTGAATTATTTTTAAATTTTTATTAAGAAACACGAGCGTTAGGGCATAACTGATAAATGAATTTGCATGAAATTATTTTTCAGACAAAAACCGTTAGATTTGATGAAAGCGTTTATTTCCGAAGTCCGAAAACTGATAATATGTCTTCTCCAGAAACTAGTGTTCCTAAAATTGGTGAACCAACTTCTCTGGAAACTACAGTATGCTTTACAACATTAGATTTCTTTTCACATGAATTTATTTGTGTAACTGTTGCATTCGTTTCAGAATGAAATGACTTTGGATCTGAAAGTGAAATTCGATGACATGTTAGAAAAGCTGAGAAATTTGCCAGCAGGTGTTTTTAGGAACTTGGAAGAAGCAGTGCATCAAATTGCTTCTGAGAAATTAAAGTAAAGATATATTTTCACCTGAATTTAGAATATTTTATCTAAATTTAGAATAGGAATTTGGCATCTTACATCCTGATTTCTTTAAAAGAGATGATAATTCTGCATTGTCATACCATCAGTAGAAGCATGATTTTCATTCTGGTAATAGTTTGAGATTTTTTTTTCGTCCATAAATTTATAATTATTCAGATAAATTTGAGAAGCAATTAGATAGCGAGATTTTTAGACATTAATATTGATCCGGAAATGCTGACAAAACTTCTATTTCAAAAATGTTAACAAAACTTGTATTTCAGAAATGCTAACAAAACTTGTAAAGAGCGTCCATCCAGCCTACCGTTGAATTCGACAGCAGTGTCGTTCTCAGAATCTGAAATAAAGGAAGTATTGCCCAGTTATTGTTGGTCATCAGTGGATTGCATTGCCTCACGAACAAGAAGAAAAGTTCGTGTATCTCAAGTGTATGTCAACCAGGTAATTTTGTTTAATAGATTTTTGAAGTTCCGTAAAAGTGAACATAAAAAATCGATTTATATGAATGATATGCATGCGAACAGGAATTTCCGATGTATTAACAAATTTTTTGAACTTCATTTGATTTTTTCTAAACATATTGCAGGAATTTTCATTAACAGTAGGAGCATCTCAAGAAAAAAACTGCAACCCTACGTTCCATCCAGAAAATTATGCTCAGGAAGACAGCGAAACGCCTAAAATGTAATGTATTTTGACATTTAAATTGCCATTAGCTCCACGACCCTTGAATTATAATAAAATAACCTTCATCAGTCTAAATTCCTCAGTTTGTGAATTATGCGCTTCAGAATCTTCTAAAAGGTAATAAAATGAGTAGTAACACACTAAATATAGGAATGAATAGTAAAGTAAATACAGAAATGAGTAGGAGAGTGCAATTTCATACTCGTTAGCAATTACTCTTACTATTGAAATCCGAATCTGTTTGCAGCAGCAAACGGTCAAGAGAAATAAATCAAATGCTCCCTGACAAAGTACAATCAGTTGAATGAACAGTGGAATTACCATGATTTTTATTGTGTTTTCTGTATTTATTAAACGACTAATTTGGGAATAATGCGCTCATGACCTATAGGTCTTCAACTGTTTATAAAGCATTTTCAGATGAATTTATAAAGTTATGGCCATTTAGAAATTAGTTGAAAAATATGTTTGCTGAAAAGAAAATTCTGATAGTTGGTGGTTTCATCATTAAAACTATAATAACTATGAAATAAGATTTATAAATTCGAAAATGTCTAAATCCAATTTCTTCATTGACTATACATCTTTTTCAATGCGATGTAGGGTTATACTCCGAGGCCTTTTCTATTTGGAAATTTCTAGTGCATAAATGATGCCGTATTATACAACACAGTCTAATTACAACTTCTTTCATATCGCACCTACGGAAAGAGTTACTGTATACCCTGTCATAATTATATTAAATATATGAGGAAGATCACAGTTGTTGAAATATTTAAGTAATCCCCATTCCCTGCCGAAGTGCATGTCGGACATGCTACACATATGCGTTCTCGAAGAAATTTATACCTTAATTGATTCGACAGCCACGATCATTCCCGTTGGACATAAAAAAACTGCTGAGAGTGTAAAGGTAGAAGAAACAAAAAAGATAAGACGGCTATCTTTCTCAATTTTCTTGTTTAACGCTCGAGAAGAAAACCATTATTATAAGTCGGATAGGATCAAATTTGCTTAGTTTTTTTCTAAAGACCTCGTAGGAAGAAATACGGCTGCATTATTAGTATATACATATATACATATACATATACATATATATATATATATATATATATATATATATATATATATATATATAT